AAACGAATGGGGCAAATGTGAATGCAATTTTTTAAATAGATAGAACAATGTTCATATTTTTTTTAATTATGTGGTTTATTAACATCTTATCGTTAATAGTATGGAGTTAAATTTGAAAATATTTTATTACTTTATTAAAAAAAATTGCATATACATTTGTTTCATTCGTTTACAATTACCCCACTTAACCCCCTATTGTGTATCTATTTCTATACGTATATAACTCAATTTCCCAAATGTATGTTCTCCTGACACGTATTACCTCGATTTACAAAAGCGCAAATTTCAGTCGGTTATTGAATAAATACAAGCACAATATGTTATGGTTATTTTGAATATAAACTGGGGAACAAGCTTACACGGGGCGTATCAAGTCAGATAATGTACGCAATTTGAGTAGTCCTGTTCAAAAAGAAAACACCGAAAATAATAAATTGAGAGAAGATAGTAATAACGTGTGTAACAATTGTACTCGATAGACGTTTAATTGATTTGCTAATTTACTTCAATTAGCGCTCATGATGGTTTTCACTATGAGAATAGGATCTAAAAATTAACCTTATGAAAAACAGTAATTGTTGTTTTTTAAATGAACCGAATGGTAGTCTGTTCGTGCTCCGACCATGTATAATATAATATGGTGTAATTTGATGTAATATTTTTAGTCTTATCTCTATCGGAGGATGTCTGAATGCCATTTGGTGAGCGATTGAGGAGTGGGCGGTTGGGCGTACGACATAAGGACGGGAAACAATATTATTGCTTTTCAAATCGAAAAGAAGCTCTAAAAACAGTATCGTTGTACGGCAGATCACGTTATTGGCCATTAAACATAAACAATGTGTCGACTCCTTAACATTGTTTTACTTGTAACACATGACTACCGCCAAACCCGTCGGATGTTAGATATTTTATTCGTTTTGGACCTCAACCGAGAATTGGTCGAATCGCAATGACATACATAAATATAATGTGTACCTAATAACATATAATCGTCGTTGTAATAATAATAACAATATGTGCTCACGCATTATACACGATAAGGATATTAATTTTATTGAAGTATATATACTAGGTTAGTAATGGTCAACAACCATTTACAAGTAGTAAAGTACCGTCATAATATTCGAAGAATTCGACGATAAAACATAGTATTGGATATGAAATTTAAGTACATAAACAGCTGTTTTACGACTTTCGAATATTCAATAACGTAAAATTATACAATAAGACAGGACCTTGGCGACCATTAAAATATTATTTAATACGTCTCAACGTAATTGCATTTTAAGAAAATCAATATCTCGAAATTGTTCATACCACACACCGTACCTCCTAGCAGGTCGTAAATAATATAGTGTTAAGCCTCGTTATTATTCACTAGATACACCATTGCACATGGTTTCTCCTCAATGATATATTTTAATACTAACAGATATTCACCGAAATAAAAGCGGACAGACAGGATTAGGGTATGGTTGACACAAGTTGCAAAGAAGATAATATAACTTCATAGTGCTAAAATATAATTTTTAATATAATTAAAATTCAACTTAGTTTTACTAAGTATTGTTAATCTTTAGGGAATCCGGGTTATGAAATTTTTAATTAAATTCAAATCTTAATTATAATAAGACTTTTAAGCACTGCGTACATAACACTCTACAGCAATGTTTCAATTATTTAACAACACATATAATGGAATACAAATCACTCTTGTTATTAATTCTTTGGGTTTTTTCAAATTTTCACATTAAGTGCATTTTTTTACAATTTCACAGGAACGACGTTTAAAAATAAAATAATGTTATACAACCCCATGTATTTAATAAACTTAACCTGTCCTTTAGGACACTACGTTGCTAAATAACTAAGATAAAAAAACTTTGTTTTGTGAAAACTTTGTTTTATATCCAGACGTAAATTAAATAAATAATTTTGCAATTTTCTGTACGACCAAACATAATTATAGAGTGGTAAAATTATACCATAAACCGCTATGTAATTTATTTAGAATATATAGTACATAATATACCTAATATTATGCAGTATGCACTTACAATAATTGTAAGCTTATGATAACCATTATAGGAATTTTAGGTGTGGTACAAAATTGCTTTTATCGGTATTCAAGATGACGATTTACTATATTTTCTTTGTAATTATGTTAAATTTATTTCTGATTTTACGCTCAAGAATACAACACAGGTACACTTTATCGATGCTGCAACCAGAAACTTGATGAGAATTACGGTTTTCCGAACAAAAAACGCAATGTTGCTGAAAATCGAATGGTTCGAAAATACTAGTGAGTGGGTCCCACAGATCTAAAATTAAAACTGCATGATCCATATTTTTTTTTTGCTTTAGGCGTTTGTTTACGGTCACGAGTGCAGAGTGTGACGCTTGCCAATTACCCGTGGATACACTTCAAACCAGCGGCTTACGGTTTTCCATAAAAGTTATTGAAAAACATGTGAATATATCAATTTTTTTTGTTAACAAATAGTCCCCAGCATTTAACACATTATGTGGGATTTTCTATGGGGGAAACACTGTAAAACTGTGTGAAATACATAAAATGTACAAACAACAATATTATATTTACTATATTTAGGTGCGATGCTTTCTAGGTTATAGTTATAAAAACCGAGTGTATTTGTAAAGATTTGAATCGGTAGCGAAGCTAATCTCTATCTTATAGACACCTAAATTTACAATTTATGTTCTCTGTGTACGCAACTCACAAATTCTTCAAATTGTAAAGTACATGCACGAATACAGCCTATTGTTGGAACTTAAACTTTTGTAAACTAGAAAATATACAGCACATTTTTCCCGAAGGGACTTATTGTTATTTGTAACCTCCAAACCTAAAAAAAACGACTTTAAAACTTCAATCATCGACTGCAGGAGATGAACTATTACTGAAACTATAAAATTATAATCACCCGCAAACGAACGTTTCTATTTGGCATATTATAGTCCAAAAGTCATAAAAAAAAAGCTAAAGATTTGTTTTTAAAAACATGTGAAATTCGCAGTTGAAGTCGTGGTACTACAAGTTGTCAACAAAAAATGAAGAAGACGTAAAAAGGAACACAAAACTACTGTTGTGTAGAAAGTGATCTTTACCGGTTTTGGATTCTGCGGGCCATTGGTAAGATCCGTGGAATTGACAGTGAAAACATAGTTTAATATGTTTTTACTCGTATCGTTATTATAGTGTTGTAGTCCCGTCACAGCCGTTTTATTATGTTATAAAATAGTTAAATGTTATCTATCGTTAATAGCTTGTGTGCCGTACGAGTTTTTTGGACAGACTGTCGCCAAAAAAGCGCATAGCACGTTTGGAGTTTCTCTATTTTTTACTCTCCATAATTTGAGCTTTGGATATCTTGTCGTTGATGTGGTTTTTATCACTTGTAATTCGCGTATACTCGATTCAAAGTAGTCAACGTGCTCCGAGTTCTGACTGCCAGTGCCCGACGTGAATACATATGAGCACATGCATAAGTAATTTGTTTGGAAGTCAACGACGCGGACATGCAACCGGTTCTCGAGGCGGGCAAGTGAGAGGGAGACTGGATAGACATTGAAAATGCACATAATATGAAAAATCAGGTCAATTGGTCACAACGTGTGACGGCCGGGCTGAAGATTTTTATTGGCTATTTCACGGTCGCGAGATTAGAATAGAATTTTCATTATCGTTTGCAATTATTATGGATATTGTTAGGTCTGCGTGTTAACTACAACAATAGTTGTTGTACTAACCACCGGACGTGTACAAAGTATATTTATTTGATTTGCTCAATTTTCGCAATTGGCCAAAAAAAAAAATACTAATACATTTTTTATTTAAACGCAGCAAATGTTTGATATTTACCCAAAATAATACAGGTTTTATAGGGTTTATGAATATCCCAAAAAACTCAACTGCCAAATATGAATTTTCGAATTGCAACAATTTGGGTGGTAAACATTTTGAGGTGGATCCTATGTTCTGCCATTAAAATTAATAACAATTCACTATTGTATTTATCTACACACCAAATCACCGTAATATTATACGCCTATAACGTGATGTCAACATGACACACGGAACAACATTTTCTATAAAAGAATTATTACAGAAATTACCAACTGTGCAAAATTCGTACCGAGAAGTGTTACAAAAAAAAAAATTTTGAATGACGTTTGGATATGGTCAAAATAACATTCCACATAGGAAATTTAACAATACAAGTGAACTCCTCAAAATAACTGTTATTCATAATAATATTATAAACATTAGATAGCTACCAAACAACACCTCATAAATATTGTATCTTTTTTTTTTAGAAAATTATGGTTTTTTGAAAACCAGATAAAAATCAGAATTTAATACATGTTAATTAGCGATAGCTACAATGTCTGCATGAGTAACGCACTTAAAAAAAAATAATCATCAATATTGTCCTTTGACATTTATGAACTGAGTGGTTACAGCCAATATTATTTTGCCTACTGTTAATGATACTAAAAACTAATGAGTTGACAGCAGAGTGTTGTAATCGTTGGATAACACTATTGTCCAATTAACTATTATGATAAGAAAATCTAATTAATTATCCAGGCTTCATAATTACAAAGATTATACAGATAAAACACTGCAATTAAAAGCAGACAATTTTAGTTTTATTAGACAGATTGCATTGAATGATATTAAATTATACTTTGTTAGAAGCAGACTATCGACACTACCTACATTTTCAAAATCACACTTAAGGAAGGTACATTCCTATGCTGTTACATACTTGAATTTCTATATGACCTAAAGGATGGCTCAGGTAGTTGGAAACTGTTAAAGAGCTACCTGAACGTCACAATACAGTAACAAATCATACAAATAGTTCCTAGCCTACGCTTTGACGGCAAACCGTTGGCGCAACTAAAGAATCCATCTTAGAATTAGATTCTAAAAAAAATATCTACTATGTGCAAGTACAATATCTTACCTTCTATGCATACAACATGATCCCGGATTTGCTGGGCGACAATCGGGTCCGGTATGAGTTCGATCAGGTCGTAGATGGCGTATATAGACGGATGTACGCTTTCGAACCGTTGAATCTCCTTACATATCGACAACGAGTTGTTGGAGAACGACGAGTGGTTGTGGTAGTACGATGGCCGGCTATTCATTTTTCGTTCACAGCTACGTACATCACTTTCGGTCGGACGTTAAGTCGAACGGAATAAACAGTTTGGATAGAAAAAATATATATATTAAAAAAAAAAAAAAAACGCACAATTAATCCCGACGACCGGTTTCTTGCCGCGCACGCATGGATTTTTTTTCCAATTAATATTATTAAAAAAAAAAAAACTGACGACTATTGCCGCGCAACCGATAAATACAAGACGGACCGAACGAACGTAACAGACTTGGCGTTTAGTAAACGACGGCGATATCACTCGGACCGAACGGGTTGTAATCAAAAGCGAGTACAAATAAACAAAACGCTATCTCGACCAGTTGTTGTTATCCGTGTTTACCATTAAATGGTATGTCACGACGCATGCGCCATCGGGTCACGCGTCCGACACCGACCACAGTTGCCGCGTAGTCGGACAGATGTCGCGGCCGTTCCGGTGTACAGATGGCGTCGTTTGCTGGCCCGCGCAAATTCAAAAATACACCGGACGTGATAATAATAATTTTATAATATAAACGCATATTAAATAGTACAGCAGAATAAACGAAAGCGGAAAGGACAGTTTCGATTTAAACTAAAACGTGGCGCCCATGTTCTAAACCTGCTATAATCATATATTAGCCTAATAATAATGTATAGATGTAATTAATTATGATTATAGCTGGTTTAGAACACGGCCGCTTCGTTTTTGCGTGATAAGTATACCTTCTGCGTGTTAATTTTTATCAGTGTCCGAGGCCTGTAATTAGCATATCAATGCAAACTTTTCACATCATAAAAAAAAAATCAGTGTTTTAAATGTCAAGCACGCGCTAGCTAGTCCGTACAGTCAACTACAGTTAACTGTTAATAATTATTATTCGATGTGATTGAGTGAAAAAATAAAATAATAATATTCTGTCCATCCCATAAGATGGATTACGTATAATTGACAATATTGCGTTTATATTTACTCATATTAAATAATTTAATTTAAATAATTTTTTGAATTACGCGTTTGGATAGTATTAAAAATAATATTATTCCATGTGTACTTTAAATACTTAAAAGCCTTAATACATTTTGATTATTCTTCAACAAGATTTCCTGCACATGTAATTCATGTTTTTCTGGAAAATGTTTAAAAATATGCTTATTGTGCAAATTTCTAGATTAGATTTAACATGGAATAATAAACTAAAAAAGAATAATTGTTCTTGTATGCCTGTATACATATTGTACAGTATATAGTTTTAAACAAATGTATTTCTATGTTACTTTAAATGTTCACGTAAAGATAATAAATACACAATTTTATATCACACGAATGAGAAAGTTTAAAATCCTCAGGATCCACCCTTTACTGGCCTTCGCTATATTTATTTGCATTTGACAAAGTTTTAAGACAAATATCATTAAACACTTTTGAATTAAATTTGTATAGAACCTTTTTAAAAAATCCATCGTACATTGTATATTTTTTCATCTAGAAAACATACAAAGTATATTATATGTCTTAACGATAATAGCATTTCAGCGCATATTATTCATATAGGATTCATATTTGTTTTGCATGTTGTTAGACCTTTTTCTTGGTATAAGATCTTAACAACAAATTAGTTTTTTTTTAATAAGGTTTTTTTAACCTATTTGTTACCATTAATGTCAACGTATACACCTATGCTTATTACAAACAATTTTTTAGTTAGCGAGTAAAATAACATGTTTGCCCGGAATTTCATTTGGACGCTTGGTAATATTAATACCAGGTGGAGAAAATATAAAACTCACTTCCCATAACATTTTTATTGAATACAATATATCTAGATACAATACATATTCGTTTATATTACAATAGGTATATTTTTATATTATCATTCCACAAAGAACTTAATTAATAATTAAAAACACGGTCCAAACTCATAAAAAAATACATAATTAAGTTACCACATAGTATTTATATAATATATGATACACTTACAATTTTTTTATGTATAAATTATTTATATAATATATAAAACACACAATTATTATTATTGTAATTATGACACGCACTATTTCATTGATATTATAAATTGTCATCAAATATTATAGTCAAAGTACATTTATCATATCCAACGTATTTTATTGTTTGTTGTTTTTTAGCTTAAAAAATAAGTAATAACATTAATATTTAGGTCACATCCTGTTTGCTGTACAATGCAAATCTCTTGTCACCCTTCGAACGCACACAGAATGCAAATATTGTCAGCAGTACCGCCACAATTTATCATACTTAAAATATTGTATTCAAAGTTTACAAAATCATGGGTTTAATTTGAAACGCCACGCCACCGCCAAGATGCCATACAAGGGCACACTTAAATGTAAAATACTTTTTTAAGTTTTTTTTTGATAATTCGACGGGTTTTAAATATATGTTTTTAGCAACTCATCCAAACGCGTACCAGTAAAATTTGTAAACAATTTTTTTTAGATTGTAAGTTACAAATATCGTTTAACAATTTCCCATGACACACATTTTGGTTTAATATTGTACTTTTGAAAATAATATAAATTCAAATAAATCCGTAGTGGTTGGTATATAATTTGTTTATTTATTGTAATCACTGTTTTATTTGTTATCGTTTAAGTCTACGAATACCGAATATCAACTCTGTTGGATAGCTAGATGATAGCAAATTAAAATACAAGTCGACCAGTCGCAAAAGGCAGTAATAGGTATCATTACTCGCTCTTCTTATCTATAAAATGTCGGTCTTGATCGGGAATCTTAATGCGTTCTCAAGAAAAATCGCAAAATGTTCTCAACAAGACTGGCATTGTAATAATATGATAAAATGAAAAAATTGAATTTTTCGAAAGGAAAAAAAAATAATCAAAATATTTTTGAAACTAAACTACGTCATTTCCAACCTGGGTAGACAGTAAACTTACAAACTTGAGCATCTGATCGACTTGTATATGCTTCTATAATATAAAAAAATATGCAACCGTTTGTCTGATTATATAATTATGTAGATGTATAATAAACCATTATTGTAATCTACATTATATTATTATGCGTTTAAAAATTAGGGTGATTCGTTTATAGTATCCATTATGATATTATATTATATTATAGTCTACAAGAAATAATAAAAATAAAATATAAATATATAGAACCCATCTCATGATGGCAGCATTAGGCCCCCATGGCTTCTTAGCCTACATGATGATGATATATAATATATATATATATATATATTGTATTATATTATTCAAATAGATTAACTATATCGTCTATAACAGATGAATTCACTTAACTTTTATCGTTTCACGCGCTATTAATACATATAACATCATAATATAATATGTGGCTACTAGTAAAATACTATTCATTTTTTTTTTTTGAAACACAACTATATCTGCCTACATAATATAAAAAGATAGGCCGATTAACTGTATATATCATTATAGACGCTACACGACGTTATTATATAAAATACTACACTAAACAAAAATCGTCTAACGTTACTAAGTCTAAATTATTAATAATACACGACGATGAAAACCTAACTCGACTATAGCCTAAGTGTAATAGCACTGGTGACAGCTGATGCATACACGTGGCTCGCTGTATAGCTTAATGATATTTGGTTTCATACCGTCTAAGTATAGCAAATAATAAGTACAAAGAAAAACAATCATAGGAGATTTATAATTCTATTTCAGACATGCAATTTAATATGTACGGTATTCGAGCAGGCAAAAATCAGTGGCAATTGTTGGTTCAACGTCAAAGGGGCAACTGGGGTCAATTTTTTAGAATGGACTGTAAACTCTAATCAGGTTATCAATAGTTAAAACATTTTTTGCTGCAGTAGGTGTATTGGCATGAATAACTTATACCAGTATTCTTCATACCTGTTCAAGGATTCACCTCAGAGCCGAGCTAAGTGAAGGGGGAGACAATAGATGGCAAAGAGGGCAAAAAATGGTTGTCCAAAGTATTTTTTAAGGTTAGTACGGTACCCGTCTAATTGCGCCCATACCTGTTAAACGTTTATAAATTATGGACAAAATATGAGTAACTTCGAAAAACTAATATGATTTTTCAAGACGCTAAGAAAAAACGACAGCTGTCAAAATTGTTTTGTTTCAACTACACGCTTTACGTTTTAAACAAACTATTTGACTCGACGGAAAAGTGTTTAAATTTTTTTGACGTTTAATAGCACTTGATCGATTACGGTGGGGGGGTCAATCAAATTTCAACGTGCTTATCTAGGTAGCCGTCCCTATGTATAGTAATGTTCAATACAGACACCCAATTGCATTATCTTACTACGTGTTTCTAGGTGCAACCTAATTTTTTAAACACATGCGCTCAGCGAAACTCAACGTACGTTTGGACGTTTGGTTATTAAATATTATACTTTAGTTTCAAAAATTGGCACACATAAACGGGTTAACCAGGGTAAAAATAAAAAATATAAAAATAAAGATTTTTTTTAATGCGGACTTAATACCAAAACGAAAAACGGCTATTTTTAAGTATCGTGTAACACACTTTTTCGATGGTAATAATATAATATAATATAGGATATGGTAATATTGTATAAATATATATAAATAATTTATAAAAATTGTTGTAATCACTTTTGCCCTCACCAAACACTGTATATTATTATTAATTTACTTAAAACTAAATTTTACTTAAATCGGTAAAAGTACTTAATTTTCGCGCAAACCGTGTACCATAAAAACAATATAAGTACTATGAATTATTACATATTTTTAAAAATAAACGCAGGTCGAGTAGGTAATAGTACGGATTTTGAACAGAAATTCGAAGGACATAGACGCAACTAGGGATGAGTTGCTATGTTCTTCTAATATCACCCAAAACAAAAAACGGTAAGGAAAACTGGCATATCATAGTTCGTTTTTTATGTTATTTATTTGAAATGACTCTCAAGATGAGGATATCGATCTCAAAATTGGAGCCCGAAGCTGGAAGACATGTGACTCGCTAAGAGCAGTTTTATTATTCTATTTTGCTCCTAATTGTCTCCGAGCGTTCTCTCCTAAAGAAATCCTAACGAGAACAGTTCCCGGATAGGATTAAAATAATAAATCCCTATGGGGATTTCTAAAATTGCAGTACCTGTATAATAGGGGAAGGGTTACGGTATACGGTAAGAGAGAAACCCTACGGTGGTCTTCGGGAAAAACTGTAGGAAGACTTAAGCTTCCCAACAAGTTTAGGTTCAAATGCGCCGTTGCCAATAGCGAGGTTATAAACATTTTTTTATTTAAACAGTAGTTATACATTTAACAGTATTGTGACGGTATGTTTATGAATGGTTTTTGAGATAATTTGTGTTTCCCTGGGCAAAATTTAATAAACGGGACTAAGACCAGCGGTACACCGATTTACATAACTATAATAGGGCGACGACAGACACGTTTTCGACAAACCCGTGTATATAATACTTAAAGGGGAGATAAGGATATGAGTTACGCTTATAAGGGATCCCTACGACGCTTCTTCCGGCGGTTTGTGATGCTGCTCTTTGGACTGTTGCGGTTGGTTTCGTGGCACCAGAGGTTCCAAGGGGACAGCTACCGCATCCGGACTACAGCTGGGTGCCGAATGATGGACTAGAGCCTTGTGTTCGATACGATTCACAGACGAAGCCTTTGATTTTTCTTTCGAGTTTAACGCGTTCTGGCTGGTTCTAGAAAATTCTTCCTGCAAAATAAAGACGGTCATAAATTGTTATTAATCGAAAAAACCCCAACATAATAACATAATATTAGCAAAGCCAGTTAACTATGTTTGAGTTGGCTAAATATCATAATACATTTGATAAGCTGGGCCCATCGAAAACTTCATTCAAAAGCACCGCTGGGTGTTTTACGGATTTGGGTTTCTTTTGCCAATTTTGAATAGTAGCGCCAAAGGCGAATTTTGGGATTCGGCCATGTCTGATCGAATAATCTACATAGCTTGGCGAGGCTGCGGTTAGGCGGATTACAAGACAAATGTTTGGAAAAACTTGAAACTTTAGTGTAAAACCGACCGGTGAGGATTTAATCCCAATACATACTTTGCCAGAGACATTTTATTTATAAAAGCGCGTAAACATTTGTTTAACCAGGCTTGGCTAAGTAAGCAAAGTTCCACCTCCGATCCTCCAACGATCGATTTCACTACAGAAGTACTATTTCAATAATGCTGAGAAAAAATAAAGGATTTAAAAAAGGAAAAATAAAGGATTTAAAAAGCTTTCGGGTAGACTCCAAGCCAGAAGTCCTGTTTGTGATTAAAATAGGGTTGTCCCAGAAAACATGGAACTAAGGGGTTTTAACTTGCATTATATTATAAGGTCATGTTACGTTCCATAAACAAAACCAACTGGAAGCTAGCCTATGTGCATCTCGTCAATTAAGTACTCGGATCGGAATAAATTATACTAATGACTCATATGATCCACTGCAGTTTAATTAAACGTACTGCGTTTGATTTCACAGAACACGAGGGTTTAATATCTGAATACTAGGGTCGCAAATGTCACCATCCAACAATATATGTCAATCAAAATGTACATGTGTTTGGTTCCGTGATGGCTTAAATGCTTGTTTTTTTTTTATCAAAAGACAATAATTTAATTTATTTTATTATTCGAAAATCCTATGTTATGATATTCTACACACATTTGTCATTGACATAATATAATTTACTGCAATTAAATGTGTTCACGTGTTTACGTTCACTTGAATGTAAAAGTAATTTTTTTTAGTTTTATTACACATGTCACGACCTTAGATTGTAACTTATATAATTCTATGTTGGATAGATATAAGAATTTTTTTATTTTATTTAAATATTGGCTTATAGGTAACTATTTATTACTACAATGGCTAGAATCGTAAAATTAAAGTTATCTAAATCTTTACATTTTTAGTTACAAAAGATAACGGTACAATAATAAGAGCAAATGACTTAATATTAATTATTTACAATTCAAAGCCGGACTCATAAATGAATAAGAGAACAGATTTGATTACGGTAATGGCTGAACAATTAATTATAGAATTAAGGTCAAAAGGGTTAATTTTATAGGAAGAAAGAATGGTGGCTTACATGGATTATGATATGGAAATGTGTCGAACGTGTCGTTGAGGTGATTAATATTTGAATTCAAAATCGATAAAATTTTAACAAAACAAACGAGATGAAACTACTTTTTAGTTTCTTTATTTTTTAATAATCCAATAATATCGTGCCGCCAAGTGTTAACAGTAGTAAATTGCATTAAAAAAATTACCAAAATCCGATTACTTTACTTTTACATTGCCGTTTCTGCCGTTAAGTCATTTTTTTTTATCACAAAAACAGTTTGTACGTTAAAAAATATATCCCCCCGGATCAGTATAAACATAGGTAGACATGGTCGACGTTTAAAAAAAAAAAATTATTTTTTTATCAAATATTGCTAGTATTTTCTCCCTTAACGTTCATCCGCGTGCCCTTAAGATAATATTATAGTCTCTAGTCAAAAGAAAAATGTATATATACTTATAAAAGCAAACGTAAACGTAATCCGGATAAGCCCTTACTCGAATAATAGAACCGCATTTAAGGATTAAGTTCAAGCTACCGCGTCGTTTTGTATATTATTTTCAATCTATATATTATTATTTTATTAAACCGTAAAATCAATTTTTATTAAATCCTATTGGTTCGAAACAGATACCGCCAAAATGTGCGGTTAACCGTGGTCCGTGTACATAAAGATTGAACAGAGCGGAGGGAAATAACGATTTGTGAAACAATTTGAAACGAACGTTATTCGTCGAAGAGTATTTTTTCAATACATATATATATATATATTATTAATATGATCGATGAAGACATCATAATATCGATGAACAATCTTGAAAGGATCTAACTCGCGCCACGCACCCCCACACACACATACAGCTGGCGTTTTTTTGACGTTTGCTCGGCCAATGTGTATCGACAATTCAATCCCGGTTATGTACCTTTGAAATTGCATCATTATTATTGCTATTTGTTCGGCTATTTACTTTGGAACTGTTGTGTATAAGTTGTTCGGTCGAACAATGGCTGGGCGGCGTTCCTTTGGCTTCTCTATTCTTGGTCGAGTGTCTTCTCTGCTGGTCCCTCTGGTACCACTTCAGGTTGTGTGTCTTCATGGAAGATGTACTGTGCACAGCTGGATCACTACCCGTCCGGCCGTACCCTATATATTATGGAAAACACACCGGTCAGTAGGTAGGTATGAACGCGACACTATTATTATACCGGTGACCGTTATGTTTTTTTCCGTACCGCGGCACGAGCCTAAGTATAACCAAAAATATACTTGCCCAGTTTTTTCGCCCTTTTCACTCTACCCGGCGAAGACGAAGGCGACTCCGAAGTGGACGGCCGACAAGAGATTAATATGAAAGCGGCTGCTCTAGCTGCGCCTACCCTGCTGTTCTCTTCGTCTTTGGCCTCCGACTGACCAGCACTGCTCTCGTCTTCTTGCTGAGCCGAACCTTCGGATGTCCCATAATGTCGACTCGAAGAAGCTTCTGTACAAAATCAAAAAAAAAAAAAATGCAATTATTTTCCATAAACCATGGCAGAATTTGTTAGGTTGGGGTTTCGCGCAGGATTCGGACCAACCTGTCACCCCTTCAATTGAACGCGCCGATAAACTTAAATTAAAAATGAACTCTGCTTCTGTGAACTCTGCTTATAACGTATATGACATTAATATGATGGAAGATAATAGTTAAATATACTTTTGAATTGTTCGGGTTTATTGTAGGAAATACATTATTTAAAAAATGGAAATTTAGACGTTGCTTACATAATTTGTGCACCGAGAAACGTTATCTGCATAAAATTATAACTATAACAGCTGTAGGGTTGGTGTGGTAGCATGAATAAGCCGGGATTAAATCTGGGGCTAAACGTAGGAACTCGAAATGCTATTATTATGCTAAGAAGTCCATATAGTAACTGATGACGCTGTTTATTAATTCATAAGGCGAAACCACAACGTTGAACTTTCGGCTTAAGACGAGCAAGTCCCTTTCGGCTTAAAGTCAGACCATTAGAGTCGGTTGCTTTGCGCTTGTTGGCTGATCGCTCGTGCGATCATTTATAATTGGCTGCAAATGCGGCGATCAAAGTGCTTATGTATTTCATCGAGCGGTCATACGACCTGGAGTGGTTCCCAAATTACTGTACATACCATCAATACTTCATAAAGTTATGCGGAGGGATAATATATACAGAGTTAAAAGATACGGTCTCGTTTCCTAAATTCTCAAGGAAAAGTATTCGAAAGATGCGGCATTTTATGAATATTTAAGCTATAGCTGATATATTTTTGAGAGATTTAACTCTCAGCCCGAAAAATAATTGTCGATGTCTAGTGTGATAAACTTTGAAACGGCGAGAAAGCAAAAGCGGGTATTTTTAATTATCCAGTGAAAAAGTTAATAATATGCAATCTTCTCCCTGTCAAATGTTCTTTAAACTTTTATTTTGTACTTCAATTGTTTGTTTTTTGTGAAATTATTATTTTTTTATCTTAACTGGTATATTTTTTTTTAGTTCTTAATCTATATTTCTACAAATGCATAATCTTATGTTAATAACGGATACAAACAACAGTGAAACAAACTACTCCAGGCCCCTCGAAAAAACAGGAAAATGTTTTAACCAAATTTAACATTATTGTTGTGATTTTGCTTATATTGTTGAGGAGTTAGCCCCCCCCCCCCCAAATATATAATTGTGCAACCCCTAACATAGCTAACTTGTCAATATCGTTTACAGTTCAAACGAAAGACGATTGACGTTTAAGTGTAGGTACATAAAATAGATAATTTTCCTATGAGTTTGAACGGTATTTTTTTTTTTTTTTTAAGGAAGTCGACAGATTCACATCACAAGCCAACCGTTCGGAACAAGATGTCTCGAGATATTGTTATCATACAACAATAGACGGTTACAACAATAATAATAATATTTTTTATTTTTTTGGACTATTTTATACTAACCTATCCTGTCCAGCGGTGTACCAGATAGGTGCTCGACTATAAAACACACTGCCTATGCGTACCTTTATCTTTTGTTTGGATTTTCATCGTATAGGTATTCGGTTAACATGTCACACGTCGTGTCAGCTGTAACTCGTGTTGACATAACGTGTATTGTAATCGAAATAACGGTTTATAAAGTCATACACACACACACACACACCTTCGAGAACAGTCGTACATGGAAAAAGGGCGTTCGATTTCACAGTATGTATATAACTTTTTAGCTCGATATTAATATACACGACATGCCGGTTAAAAAATGACACTGCGTTCTTGTGAATGACATTTAACAGTGTTTTTGTTTACTGGCAAAGTACTTGGAAAAAAAAGGGAACAATCAAAATTGTATAAACTCATATTTTTATATTTTTACCTACTCAAAAAGAGCGCATAGTATTAAACAAATATTAATTAATTATTGACAGTTTTACGATGAACAAAACATGATTGAGCAGACACCGACCAAAAAAATAAATACGGTTCGTACCCTGACAATAGGGTTAGATATTGATTTTCGTGACATTCAACGAATTTTCATTATAATTTTTTTATAACAATACATCAACAGGATGCTTTCATTTTGATTTAGATTTGGGTCTTTTATCATTTCTGTTTTTTTTTTTTGCAACATTCAACTGTCTAAATCCTTATATTTTGCGAGTGACAGCTGTTCGCGTTTTTTTATTCCGGGTTTTATTAACATTTATATTTATATATACTATATATACAGTATATTTTTACCACAAGATTTAAATCTCGAATATCAATTTATTTGTCACTCCAAAAATCTTCAGATTGCGTTTTTTTTTTAAATTTATATTAAACATTCTCTAAACAAAAACATTTTATCTGAAATGTTTGCTGTAATTTAAATTAGTATTTTCCAATACTAAAAAATACAGAAAGAAAGTAAAGAATAGAAATAACAATCTATTATACAAAAAAAATAATCAAATTGCACTTTGTAAAACAAAAAAAATGCTGTTTATCCGATTTCGTTGAATAAAATTAAAATGTTTCGCATATATATTATAAAATAGTAATAAAAACCGAAACTATCCGAAAAATAATAATAAAAACTACTCTTAATAATAACTAATAAGCTATAAAAAGTTTTGTTAACGTTTCTTAAACAATTTAGAAAATGAACTCTGTTAAAATCGCTGATGTCTATTAAAATACAATAAAAACATACGTTTTTTGAACGGGATATACAAAAATTCCAATTTTTACAATAACCTATATCTAGTCATATAAAAGTCTTTAAAGTTGATTTTAGATTTAATTTGTTGATACATGTCTAAATTTTAAATTGTTGCTGAAAAAAATATTGAAACGTCAAAACCTAATACATAGACCTATTAAACTCAAAAACTTCAAACTAATCTAACCGATAAAAAAGAAACACTGCGTTGTTTGTCCATTGTTGCTTATAAGTACAATACAATTTTTCTACACTATATCTTCGGTGCTTGGTGAAAACCATTTAAGACATTTATTTCCAAAAATGCCAATTTGCTAGCTAATTTTGATTCATGTTTTTTTTATACGAATAGAGTAAGTCTAAACTCTGAAGTGAAATTCTCTCGAGTCTAAATCAAAAAGATTTTTTATTTTTTGATACAAACTGAAACGAGAATAAACAAAAATCATAAAAAATTTTATTTTTCTAACACTCCCACCATAAAAATTGTTTTTATTTAACTTACTCGGAAAAAAAATGGATCTACCGTGAATTTATGAACATTTAGTCAATAAATTCTTCGTGAAAACATTATTATGTTTTTGCCAAAATACCTTTCGTCGGCGTAAGCTGTGCGAGTTATATTTACAGTGTGCGTTTACACGGTAAACATTTTGAAATAAAAAAATATAAAAGAAATTTGAAATTTTCCCTTTCGCTGGTTCGCGTGACCAGCTTACCATATACCTGGTATATGCAGTATGAATTATTCAAAAACCCGTCGTGGGACCTTTGTGCGCGACCGTTGCAGCAAAGACCACGTGGAGGCGAAAAAGGGTCCCTGGTGTCCCCTGAGAGGGGGGGGGAGGAGGAGACAGCATACATTTATTTGAAGCGGCGATGACGGCGGTGGTGGTGGTGTATAATGTAATGTAATGTAATTTGATGTATATATATATATATATATATATATATATATAGTGTGGAGAGCGCGGGAAAACCAGGTGGTATCTGTTTACGAGACTCTCCCCCCCCCCCGAGTCCGTATATACTCGGCCGGCGGGCCGCGGGGTGAAATCGATAGACGGCGACCTACTAGTTTGGCGCGAGCACAGCAGCTTGTTGGGATACAAGTTGGTGGTCGGGAAGCGCCGTGGCCTGGAGGCCGTGGACAGGCGCAGCCCGAAACAGATGAGCGCCGAGAACACTAGCAGACCGACCACGACGCCGAGCAACGACGAACCGCCAGTCTTGCCGTCCGATTCGTCTGTGTACAAACAAAAACAAATAAAAAACGTCATAAAGAAAACACAATAAAAATAAAGGCAGCTAAACTAAAAAAAAAAAAAAAAAAAATGTCGACGGGCCGACCATCAAAATATTACATAACGTTACCTTGAGCGCAAAAGCTGCTCCGCGCGTTGGTAGGCCTGGACACGGTGACCATGTGGTAGCCCTGCTTGCACTTGCATATGGCGTTGTGGTCCACCTGTGCGCACACCGCGTGCTTGTCGTGCTTGTGGCACGTGTCGTCTTGGAAACACTGTTCTCCCAACCCTGAAAAATACAATTTACAAATAAGTATATGTGATATGACCACTCAGGTTTGTGGAATAGTAGTTTTCGATTTCATTAAAATAACATAAGCTCGGAAGTCTTAAGTGTATTTCTATATTATACACGTTTTATTCTTTGCTCTTTAAAAGTACTGAAACTTGTGATCGAATACCTCGAAATACAACTTTTTAAAATTAGGGTAACTGTTTTCCTATTCAATTCTTATAGTAAATAAATAATAACTGTGGGGAGAATTTGTAAAAAAAATTTTCAAGGATAGAAGATAATTATGGTAAAATTATTATAATAATATATTATTATTAAAAATTATTTTTTTTACATAAAAAAATATTTTAGGTACGTATTAAAGTTGTGAATATTTTATTAAAAATATAACCGGAAGGGAAAGATGAAACGCCGTAGTTTCACTCATGATTTATACTTACATTTTATACAGAAAATCCCTATCTTTTAAGCCTAATAAGCGTTACATATTACATTAATCCATTGAAACAATGGATTAATGTATGAGTGTATATTTATTTGTATAACTAAACGGGCCAAATAAAAATCAATAAAATATGTATTTGTTTTCAATTGTCTAATGTGTGAATAAAAGGTCACCTGGGAAGCAAATAAACATATTACTAAGAACACAATTTTAAGCACGTTTTCATCTTAAAATTATATTAATCGATATTTGTGCCATTTACAGATTGCATCAAAGCGTTTTTAAAGAGTAATGTTATTCACTCATAACAATTCATACAGTCCTATAAATACACCGACCATTCCATGATCCGTCTCCACTATGTCCCGACACGACTGTAGGGTTTTTTTTATACAAAAAGCCCTATGTAATATACATTTTCGATACTTTTGTGTGTATTATGTACAACAATTAATAAATCATTCTAATACCTAAAACTCAAAAGTGTCTTAGCTTGACAAGACAGTTAAGACAGTTAAATCGAAACTTTGTTTAAATTGAGTAATGCCGTATACCCGAGGTATTTAAATTTTATCCGTGAATGTTTAAGGAATCTCCTTCAAAACTCATTACAATATTTTTATATTAAGACAAATCTGGATAGTAAATTGATTGCCCGTTGGTAAATATGCAATGGCAAAGGTTAAACAAAATGATCTATGAACGCGTTTTATTAAAAATTCCACGAAAAAACGTTATGATAAAAAAGGACATTCCCGTGTAATTTATATAAAACATAAATCTTAACAGTAATATACAAAATGGCTGGGTCGTGCGTATAACTGTGGGACCGACCAGAAAACCTAACCGTCCAAGGCTGTGGTCAGAAATGACACTTATAAACGTCCTGCGGTTTTGCTCACTAATTCGTTACATCCATCATCGCCCTAAGGGGCAAGTATATTTTTCTACCACTCTACTAGATCATCTGAACTTCATACACCATACTTACTCGTACAACTTAATCAACAAAATAGAACAGCGTGCGACGTTAATTGCTCTTTCGCACTAAGACAGAAGTTGTTATTTATTGTAATTGCAATTTTCTAGTGATGGATTATGTTGGATGAAAATGAAACACTATAAATGACATAGCAACGATCACACCTTAGTATTAATATAAAGTACCCTACGGACTACGATTGGCAAAACTGCAAAACCTGATGCTAAATCCAAAGCAGAAACACTTGAAAATAATAAACTTGTGATACGTTCTTATACTTACTAAACGAGCATTTAACACTATTAAACAAAACATTCAGATTCAATAGCTAACAGCTTTTTTAACACGCAATGAGTTAAACTAAACGTTTTAACTCTGCGTGGCGTTTTGTTTACTAATGTAATGTTTTATGTAAACTATCTTGATGAAGGCGCTTTCAAAAAAAAAATCAAATAAATAATTGCTTTTTAACGTTTTTTAATTAGTACCTTTGATAAAAGTCCTATACAAAAGCCAACAATGATTATTTCTATCAGCCATACTGTGTTTTGTTTGTTAATTACCAACACAGTATTACAATACGCAATGACACCAATAATCGTTAAGAGATAGTTGAGGCTTAGCGTTCATTCAAAACACATAAAGCTTCACTGCAGACGTACCCGCTGTGTTTTTCTTGTAAATGAAATTAGATTTAACGTGAAATACTTTGCTGCTCATTTCAGATCCAAATATTTTAATTAAATTTACATTATACACAGTTTCAGTAAAATAAATTTACTTTCCTCGCATACACAAAAGTATTAAAATTGCCTACATCATTCGCCTTATTATTGCTACAACTTACTATTAGTGTATTAGTTTTTATGTTGTTGAACATCGTGACTATTTGCACAATAAACAGACTTCAACTATCTATTTCAACTTTTTATAATCAATTAAGAAAATTATTAAAACTGTCTGTATGTGTCTGAAGTATGTATTATACGTCATAATAAAATATTTAAATAAGTGACGCAACTTCTTGGAATACAGGTTCTCTACCAAAGCCTTGTATGAATAATTAAGTTTAAACGCCCATTAAAAGTTATTTAAATTAGTTTTTTAATTGTAATGACTAAAACACCCGGTGGTTCATATTCGAGCCGAAACAAATTTTTTCTTCTCATTACTCGAGTTTTGTTAATAGTTTTAGCTTATACTCTCGCTTCGAAATACGGGATAATATATACGGGATAATATCTAGAGCAGTAGTAATTCTCTTAGGATTACTTTCTTCCTTAATTGTTATAAATTACTGAGTAATGATACTTTATAAATTGTTCCTATACATCTTTAATGTTATCAGAATATCATAAATACAATTATAACAAATATTTCGCTGCATTATTGCTCAAATGATTATTATGTATAAGAAACTTTTTTATACCACGAAAGTCATAGCTTTTTATTCACATAAACAAAAAACATAAGTAAAACGGTGACTTGGTTACAATAAAATAGTTTTTTTTGGCTATTATACCAAAACTGCGCACTAATCATAAAAAAAAAACCATTGTTCTTGACATAAATAAATAAAAAATATTGGTTATAAACTGACATGAGTGTTAAATATTAATTAAGGATTGTAATTTGCAACAAACACGCTTTATTGGGACGCCTGGTGTGTGTATACAGCTTATAATAATTAAATTATGGGGCTGGAACTTAATTCCCCCAGGTCTTAAACTTAATGTATCCAGCCATAAACATTGCAACTTTAGTCTGAATTATATGAGTAATTAAAACAGTATTTAACTTAAAAGAACGAGCGAATGTTTGGTTTGCAGCGAATGACGTTATTCCTATTTGTTTTGACTTTTAAGTACATAAAAGTAGAGCTGTTAGTTTTTACCTCTAATAACGGTATATGTAATATATATATATATATATATATATATATATATATATATGTATATGTAATAACTGTGTACCCAGGTATGCAAGCATAAAACGATTTAGATATAAAACCATTTTTTAGGCATTTATTGAGCTTAAAAGAATATTCATATAAGTAAAAATCTTTGAGCAGACACAACATTTAATGAAAAATTACATTTTCATTGGCACCTTTTATGCTGTTGTAGTTTTAGCTCTAGTTTTATGTATTTACAATAGATAAATAAATATTATTACAACTGTGAACGCTAGTGATCTCTTAATTGCGTCATTACTTTAAAGGTACAAACTAAACCAAGAAACATATTAACTTAGTCGATGTACATTTACAGGTAATTTAATGTAAAATGACTTTATTAATTTTGACTACAGTCTTGCTCTTCACAAATGTCTGTTTTATGACATTCAAGTTGACAAAAACAGATGGATGGGATCCATTAGAGGTAATTTTAATTAAGGACATTTTTTTAATATCCTAACTTAGTTGGGGGTTCAAAAGTTTATCTTAAGCTAAATCATTTTTTTCTCTGTCTTCCAAAGATTCTTTCCTTAGTAGTTTGCATTATTATATTCCTCTTAGAGACATTTTCTCTCCACTACTCATTAATCATTATAGAGCCTAAACATTGTAATCTCGACCTTTTATTAAAAAAAAAAAAATTGATAGAATCAAATTAATATTTGTTTTTAACAAATTTTATCCATATTACATGCAACAATTACTCTTTGGCATGTCAATTAAATACATATATATTTGGTATAAATGTAGTTTAGTTCTCAGTTCCTTTTTGAAAAAGTTTGTTTTGGAATATAATATATATTTTTTTACCCTGGAAACGATAGCGATCGGTTTTCATTTACTTAATTTTATTAAAAGTGCAATAACTTGAGTATCAACTTTTAAAAAAAGTATTGTTATTCAAAATATGTATTTTATAAGATCAAACGATTTAAAAACCTTACCTAACTAAAATCAAAATGATTACACTAACTATAACACTGCGTCTTGAGATTTCTTTCTAATGTAAAATTTGTAATTTTACATAGCTACAGTTTATCACTAAATTCCTAATGAAAAGTTCATATTTTTCACATTATAGACTAATGCGGATTGGGTGTACAGCGAAATCACTTACAGTGAAAACTTCCTCGGTGTTATGAACGAAATCAAAACGTTAGAAACAGTAGAATTTTTGGATGGCAATGGACCCGTCGTCATAGATGAGATAGATAAAAGTGAATTACAAAAAAAATGCAACGGTGACTGGGAATGTATCCAGACAAAATCGTTATCAATACAAAAATATAAAATAAAAATGGAAGCATTACAGTGTGTCAACGCCGTGATACTGCATTACACGATGCACAACGCCGTATTGAAAAAAAACGATATCGAATCGAGTGAAACCCCAGAATTTTATGAGAAAACGAATAAGATCATCCAACGGATGTTATCCGTGTTGTTTGTCAGCAAAACACTTGCGCACAAATGGCTATGGCACATTTTTGTTCACAATTACTCCAAGTTCAATTGGCCCTACGTGTACTCGCCGGGTGATGATTTATTTTACTATAAATACCTGACATTAGTGTTGCCTTACATTCGGTTTTGCCAATATCAGAAATACC